ATAGATTTACAGAAGTGTCCTTTTTTGTGCATACATGCATGCAGTATATAGGAATGTAAGTGATACATGTACTTCAATATGAGGGGCTTTATTCTGTTGCATGCATGTCACGCATAATGGCTGCATGTCGGCCCTAGTTGTATTGTTATTTACTGACGTTCATGGTTGTCATGATAAGTTTGTTGCAATGGTTCATCCCACACTTCTCCTTTAAGACTAAAATTTGATGCTGCATAGTCTACATTTGTCTGTATTCAGTTTGTTATTTAACCCTAGCCACTCACTGCTCTTGCCTACATAGACACTGAATTATTATACCTATAGGAGAGAGAAATCATGTTGAAGGGGCTGGCATTTATTGCTGTAGTCCTTATTACTTTGACTTACAATGAAGTGAAGTCACAAAGTAAGCTCTTGTATAGCATCACTATTGCTATTTTTAGTTCATAATGTGATTACTTTTAGATGTTGCTATAAGTGGCCCTGCGACTGTGACAAGGAATTTTGGAGAGAGTGTCACATTTGAATGTACTGCAACTGGTTTAGTACTGAGTATCAGTTATACCATTGGTTTTTATAATGAAGCAGGAGTTAATGTTGGGGGAAATGTGTCTACTAATAATTTAGCTACTCTCAGTAGATCACTCAATATTGCTAATATTGGTAGTGGTGATGTTGGTACATACACTTGCAGACTTAAATCTATTTTATCAAATTTGATTCTCATTTCTGGCAATGTTACATTACAAGGTAATCAGTAAAATAACCTGCACTATAATAACTGGTGTATAATTATGTCTTGATTTGTACACTCTATAGATCCTTTTTTGTTGCATGTATTATTGTACTTGCTCTCTTTGCCACTACATAATTTACTTTTTTATTCATACACACTAGTGTCACCTGAAAGTCACGTAACTGTTGATCGAACACCTTCTGTTTCAGTAAGCAATGGAGATAGTCTCACGTTGACTTGTTCTACTCCTGCTGGTCCTTCTAATTCATTCACCTGGTACTTTCATCAAGATCCTTGTGATCCTAATTTAGCAACTTTTAATCCATGGGGTGAGTCATGTTAACAGTCTCATAATATTTGATTTGTATCTGCTCTCTTTGATTATTAATCTTTTCTGTATACAGCTTTTACTGTAAGTGGTGGTGCTTTGGTGGGCATGGGAGCAGTCTACGTGATCAATTCTGTTGATACTTCTACTGATGGTTGCTATATCTGTCACGTTACAAACGGTGCTGGCTCTGGATTCAATGCAACTACAGTGTACATTGTTCTAAATATTACTGTCTATCCTGACCCTATAGTGACAACTGAAATCAATGGTAACGTGACTTTATCTTGTGATGCTGATGCTAGCCCATTCCCAACTTTCCAATGGGAGAAAAAGGACACTAGTGGGAGCTTTGTAGAGCTACAAAATGAGACTAATAACGAACTTGAGATCATCTCAGTAAAGTTTGAGGATGCAGGAGAATACCGTTGTGTAGTTTCTGATGGAATGCTGAATTCTATTGCATCTGATGTTTCTACTGTATATGGTATGTGATATTGATTTCATTGTGTTTTCATTACATTTATGCATACATAAAGTTATAGCTAGATGCAACGAAGTTACATATACCACATTCAAGTTACATATTCTCTTGTATCATTGATGCTCTTATAGAAAGTTTTTACCGATTGACTATAAATAATAAATCATTTGTGAATGTAATACACTAATGCTTAATATGTGACTACACATCGTCAGTTTACATTTTTGTCCTAATTACAAGTATATTTCTTTCAACAAGGGTGACGGAAGTATCTAAGACTGGCAAAATGTTGCCTGTAGTGTATGAGGTAAACTATGTGATTTACTTTAATAAGAGTTCTATTCTGTTGGCATTCAACTTGACATGGCATGCATGCATGTTGTTGCAATGGTTCATCCCACCTAACATTAATTTTGATGCTGCATAGTCTACCTGCATTTGTCTGGCTTCAATTTGTTATTTAAGTCCTAGCAACTCACTGCTCTTGACAGTCTAAGTTATTAGACACTGAATTATTATATCTAAAGGAGAGAGGAATCATGTTTAATGGACTGGCATTTATTGCTGTAGTCCTTGTTACTTTGACTTACAATGAAGTGAATTCACAAAGTAAGCTCTCATATTTTTATGAAATGTATACTTTATGCTTTAAAAAATTGTGTTATAATTATTGTGAATTTGTAATCTAGCAAAATTAAAGTCATAGGAAGAAGATAGATGGTAGCAAGATGCACTTTTGACTGTAGCATTAGTAGGCAATGTTGCCAGCAAGAGGAGCGCATTGCCACCCATATTTGAATAAGAGGCCCCTATTAATTAAGCCAATCTGTCAATAGAATAATATAATATGCCTATTATACTAGAGTACCCTGCACTCACATCTTGCTGATACTCACCCTTTGATTTTTCTTTCAACCTTGTTGAAAGGAATAGAAATGTTTTCCAAATAGCTATGCACTTGTCATCCTGGCCCTATTGTGATGCCAGACTGAAATCAATGACTTTGTCTTGCAATGCCAAGGCAGTTTAGCCCTTTCCCAACTTTTAGTTTTGAAAATGGCAGTAATGTGAACTTTGTATGAGCTGGTAGATACTAGATAGTAAAGCCGGATTTACAATATGACGCTAGTCCTGACGTTACGTTGACGCAGAAGTTGAATCTGATTCAACTCCAGCGTGAAGCATGCGTGAAAAGGTCAAATCGCCTATGCTTTTGATTAAAAATTGACGTTACGTTGGCCTAGCGTCATATTGTAAATCCGGCTTTAAGCTTGATGATGCAAGAGCAGAATATGAATAGGTCTACCAATCGACTAACAATTATGAATCAATTATGACTAATCCATAATACATGACTACAAGTGTCAGTTTACATCTTTGTTCCTAAGCTTGTTATTCAAATAGCACTAATAGCATTCTCATTGCATTCATCAGAATGGCTCCTATGGGACACACAATGCTGCCTTTGATGTGGTAATACATGCATTCCAGTGGTATCTCTATGTTGTCTTATATACATGGAATTTGGAATTTTGAGAATGCCCGTCTTTAATATAATTATAATTGCTAGATAGTAATGATTGAGCTAGCCAATAATCATATTTTCTCTTTCTCCCTCTTTTTTGCATTCTTTTGTCATAGTTCCTCCCAATGGTTCTGTCATTATTGAGCCCTCATTCCTGATAGCAGAGTCTGGCTCAAGCGTATCCTTTAATTGTACAACTGAAGGTGGACCTGATAATACATTTTACTGGTATTATAACATCTCTGGCACAGTCTGCAATGAGGACTGTACTGGAACTGATGAGAGTTTCAATGATTTTCTATCAAGTAAGAATTATAATATCTTTCTATTGTTCATTAGTGTGGTCATTTGATTATAAAGCAATTTATCTCCATTATAATGTTTAAATTATTATTGTATTTCTTTTATTTAGATATAAACAGTTCAATCAACCTGACACTGGTTGATACTGGTCCAATTCTTACTCTTAGTAACATTGATTCATCAGTTGGTGGTACTTATCATTGTGTTGTTATCAATGAGGCTGGGTTTGATATTGAAACTGCTAGTCTCTACATTACTCCAACTATTGTCACTCATCCAATGAATGTTAATACCACTAGTGGTACCACTGGTATCATTTTGTCATGTATGGCTGATTCTTTTCCTGACCCTGAGTATCGCTGGGAGAAAAGCAGCACTAATGAAGGACCGTATACTGAAATAGCTAATAGTGAAGGCTCTACTTATGCTTTGGGTACCATTTTACATTCTACTAATGGATACTATCGTTGTATTGCATATACTAATATATCTAATATCATCAATGAGACTGCTTCTAATCCAGCAATTGTTTCTGGTAAGATTAAAGTTTATATTAGTGTTACTCTCTTTCTCTTTAAACTGCTCTTATACATTTCCTTTTTATTCTGGTAGTAAATCCTTCAGGCAGTGTCATGGTCTCAGCCAGTAGTGCCACAGTCAGTGGTGGAGACAATGTAACCTTTACATGTACTGCTGGAGGAGGACCAGGAAATACTTTTGCTTGGAGACATAATGCTAATGCAATCAGTGATGGAGGACGATTCATAATAGAATCAACTTCTTCCAGTACACTTACTGTTACTGATGTAATTGGAGCAGATTTTGGTACATATATTTGTCAAGTATCAAATCTTGCTGGAAGTGGTATTGCTACTTCAAGAATTACAAGTACGCATTTATTTATTAAAAATCCTACATTTATAATTATTTTGTTTTATTTCTCATTAGCTTCACCTGAGGGATTCTCAACCATTAGTCCTGTCAATAATATAACATTGGACAGAGGAAGTGATATCACACTAAATTGTGCTACAACTGCTGGTCCTTCTAATAGTATAATGTATGATTGGCTGCGTAATGCAACACAGAGTGTTTGCTGCCCTCTTGGACAAAATGCTAACATCACTCGTAAGTTTGGAGATATCTTTCAAAATATTGTTTTTTTTTTGTAGAATTGGTAGAGCAGAACTCTGTTTCACGTGTTGGTATGAGCTCTGATCTTGAGCTTACTTCAGTCAATGCTTCTCATGGTGGTACATATGAGTGTATACTATCCAATGATGCTGGAAGTGAAGCACTTAGTACTAGTGTCTTCATAAGACCATACTTTGTTGAGGAGCCACCTGACAATGTCTACACTGAAGTTGATGGGAATGTGACTCTGGACTGTAATGCTGAGTCTTATCCTTATCCAAGTTTTCAATGGGAGAAGAAGAATGATGC